ATTTGACAAATAATTGTAAAAAGTATCCAGGTAGATTGGTGGGTAAGAAGTAAAGAATCTTGTCTTTTGATAACAAAAAAGAGGGTGGTGGGACCAATCTTATTGCTATTGGGCGAATTAAAGAAGATTGTAGAGTTGCATGTGCTAAGATGGTAGTAGTGGATGAATTATCTTTTAGGTTTGTTGAAGGTCGTGGTTTCAGACTCTTTTGTAGTCTCGCATGTCCTCAGTTTCAGGCTCCATCTCGGAGAACTCTCTTTAGAGACATTTATCAATTGTATTTAGGTGAAAAACTGAAATTGAGACATATCTTTTCTTCTCACCGTCAAAGGGTTTTCCTCACAACTGATACTTGGACTTCCATTCAAAATGTTAATTACATGTCTCTTACAGTACATTTTATTGATTCTGATTGGACGCTTAATAAGCGTATTTTGAGTTTTTATGTTGTTCCAACCCACAAGGGAGAAACAATTGGGAAAATAATTGAGACTTGTTTGCAAAATTGGGGGATTGAGAAAGTTTTTACAATCACCGTTGATAATGCAAGCTCTAATGATGTGGCTATTTCTTATCTTAGGAGGAAGTTAGTTGCTTGGGGTAGTGATGGATGTGTTCTAGAAAGGAGGTATTTGCACTTGAGATGTTGTGCACACATTATCAATTTGATCGTTGGTGAAGGGTTGAGGGAAGCACATGACTCCATTGTGACTATTCGCAATGCAATCAAATATGTGAAATCTTCTCCAGCTAGGTATGAAAAATTGAAGGAGTGTGCTAGGAAAGAGAAGATTGATTGCAAGTNTGGAATTGGATGAATGGAGATTAAGTGGCAATATTATATTAGGTGAAATGGCGATTAACATGAAGAAGAAGTTCGAAAAGTATTGGGGTAAAATGAAAAATGTAAATCAGTTGTTGCTTATTGCTACTATCCTTGATCCAAAATACAAAATAGATTATGTTGAATATTGTTTTAGTGATCTATATAGGGATGGGGAAGTTGTTAGTATCATGATGAAATCTTTGAAAGTCAATCTAATGCATATTTATGTGTGGTATGTGGCTCATGAAGGTGTTCATGGAAGTAGTCAAATATTTACCGATGAGTCTTTGAGTTCTTTCAATACAGATAAAGACAGTTCTTCTTCTATGAGTGATACTCGCCTTTCTAGATTTCTGAAAAAACAAGCAGTAAAAGATTGTACTGAAATAAAAAATCATGTGGAAAGATATTTGATGCTCGTGAAAGCGTAGAGAACAAGGATTTTGATGTTCTCGATTGGTGGAAGGTTAACAAAAGTAAGTATGTTGTCTTCTCCAATTTGGCTAAGGATGTGTTGGCAATTTAAGTTTCAACTGTTGCTTCATAAAGTGCTTTTAGCGCTGGAGGAATGATCCTTGATCCTTTTCGCAGTTCGTTGAGTCCTAAAATGGTGGAGGCCTTGGTATACACACAAAATTGGTTTGAGAGCGTCTCCAAACTTAGATGGTTTTCACATGGAAGATGTTGAGCATTACAATGATCCTTTTCGCAGTTCGTTGAGTCCTAAAATGGTGGAGGCCTTGGTATACACACAAAATTGGTTTGAGAGCGTCTCCAAACTTAGATGGTTTTCACTTGGAAGATGTTGAGCATTACAACCAGTTAGATGAAGGTGATATATATATTAATAAATTTTGTTAATTTGAATTTATTTCTATGTATTTTGTTGTCAATTTAATCAATTTTTTTTTATGGAATTAGAATCGATAAATTTAAAATTGAATGAAGATGATGAAGGGCAAAAGAGTTAAAAAGTTTCCAAAATGCTAATGTGCTACTGTGGTTCGTTTTAATGAAATGTGTTACCGTTTTTGTTTAATTATTTTGATGAATATTTGATGGATTGTACTACTTTAATTTTCAAGTTTATTGACATTGGATGATTATAATAATGTTACTTTAAATCCAAAAATTGGATGATTTTAATATTTGTGTGACAAGTTGTCCCGAACCGACTAACTCAACTCAACCCAACCCGGCTGACACATAATTGGGTTGGATTGGATTGAGTTTCAACATTTACATGGGTTGGGTATTCGAACAAACCGATAATGTTGGGATGAGTTTGTGTTGGGGCAAAAATCGACCCAGAAGACTTAAAGGTTTGAAATATATAAATTTCTTGGAACTAAAAGTTGGAAGTTTGCGATTTAAAAATCTGAAAGTTCGTGATATTGATTGTATCAAAATTTGATTAGCAAATTTGGTAAATTCTTAGTCTTTATTTTTATCATGACATGTACATTAAGGAACAATCTTGAATTCTTGGATTGATTTTTTCCGAGTAAATTTGGTTTCAGATTTCGACATATTGCACGTGACCGAACCAATGATCTATGTTGGATTCATATTTATAAATTATTTATAAAAATTCAAATTATTTTTTATCCACACAATGTGATTAACTCACAAACATTACTATCTATTTACTTTTAATCACTTCCCAAACTGTGTTGATCTTCACGAAAACATACAGACTATTTTGGCCATCGATTCAAATTGATAAAATAGCTTAGCTCTACAAATTGGACATTGGACTACGTTACTATTTAATAAAAAAAATTTGAATAAACCAAGCCCTTAATTTATTGCTTCAATAAATATGGCCTATCACTTGCATGTAATTTAAATTGGTTCAAAAATTAGTGATGTTATATAACATTATTCTTGGTCAAATATTTCAGTGAATTAGGAGTTTGAGAATGATCGAAATAGAAAATATGAATTCATACATGGAATATGGCCTATCACTTGCATGTAATCTAAATTGGTTCAATAATTAGTGGTGTTATATAGTATTATTCTTGGTCAAATATTTCAGTGAATTAGGAGTTTGGGAATGATCGAAATAGAAAATATGAATTCATACATGGAATAGTTACCCTGAAAAACGGTTAGAGTGAATACTTGAGCGTTTTTTGTTAGACGAGTTATACATCTAAGCTCAGTGTTCGTTGAATGCTTCAACTAAGTCAATGAAGAAAGCGAAGGCTGGGTGAGAGACTAGGCCAAGAAAGAAAGTCCTTGCTTTCTCTTTATTAAGGAGCATATCATTAACTTCAATTGAGCTTAGCGATAGCTGAACTTTGACATCTTCGATGGTTTACATGATCATTAAAGAAATTAATACTTAAATTAATGAGAATAATTAGAGGGGCGAAATGATCATTTTGTCTCCTACCTTTTATCGAATTTCGGATGGAGATAAAATATATACATGGTAGGTTAGGAAAAAATTATCACACACACACACAATTCCGTGATCTTATATATTTCAAAGTGTTGTCTTTTCTGTATAGTGAAAAAAGACTAATAATTAGATTAGGTTTTCTGAGGTCGACTAGATATGATCTAATTATTGGAATTTTGATAATATATATCCGATCGGGTCCATGTGATAACTCTATAAAGTATTGAGACTTAATTGTAATTAGCTGATTAAAGAAAAGTGTTACACGTATATATTAACTTTTGGGATTTTATATATTTCGAAAGGGCAGTCTTTTGCCTATAAAGAAAAAAAAGACTAATAACTATATTAGATTTTTTGGAGTCGACTAAATATGATGTAATTATTGGAGTTTGGATAATATGTATTCGATCATGCCCATGTGATATCTTTATAAAATATTAAGACTTAATTGTAATTACTACAAAATTTTTTGGGCTTAATTAGAATTACAAAAAAAATTATAACATTAATTACCATAGAAGACTTATATGTTTAAAATATATAAATTTCTTGGAATTAAAAGTTGTAAAAAGTTTGCTAAAGTTCATGATATTGATTGTATCAAAATTTGATTAGCGAATTTGGTAAATTCTTAGTCTTTATTTTATCTTGACATGTACATTAAGGAATAATCTTAAATTCTTGGATTAAGTTTTTCCTAGTAAATTTGGTTTCGTATTTCGACAGATTGCACGTGACAGAAACTCATATCTATAAATTATTTTTAAAAATTCAAATCATTTTTTATCCAAGCACTGTGACTATATATAATTTAAATTACTTTTAATCACTTCCCAAACTGCGTTGATCTTCACGAAAACATACAGACTTCAATTCAATATTTTGGCCATTGATACAAATTGATAAAATGGCTTAGCTCTACAAATTGGACATTGGACTACATCACTATTTAATAAAAAAATTGAATAAACACAAGCCCTTAATTTATTGCTTCAATAGCAAGATCGTCCTAAATTTTAATAAAGTGCAATTTATTTCCAACTTTCCGTTACAATTGTATTTACCATTGATGTCACCGTCATCTTTCACACCTTTGTTAAGCTTGTGTATGAACCTTATAGAAGCGTATTTTACTTCAATTCTTTTTTACCACATAACAAGCAAATAAATCTGAACGCATGAACACAACAAAATAGTTTAATGAAAATTTGGATAGTCTTCTTTCATCGAAAACGAAGATACACTATGCCCCTGTTTAGTATAGCTAAAAAATCAGTTTTTTAATATATTTTGATAAAAAATAATAATATAATGTACGATAAAAAAGTTGTGAATTTTATAAAATATATGATTAAAATTAATTATTAATTTTGATTTAAATTTTAATCCATACCAAACCTGAGCCTATAATTAATTAAAGACCCAAAAAGAAAAAAAAAAAATTGACCAATCATTCAATTTTACCAAAAAATTTCCTAATATAACAAACAATATAAAAAAGGGAAAAATAAAAGGCTTTAGAACTTTAAGACGACCTGTTCTTACGCGGCAGGCTTTTGCTCTTTATTACCTTTATTACCTGTAGACAGTTTGATTATTCAATCGAATCAAATGGAAAGTCGACCAAAATTACATTTCTCCTCTGATCATAAGTTCAATTGACTTCGTGATAGGAGGAGAAGCTGTATAGTTGTTTATTTTTTCTTAATTTTGGACAGTATATGAGATTTTAGTTAATTGAATTATAGGGTTTTGGAAAATATGAAGAAGGCAATGGAGAGTTTGCAAGATCTGATCGAAGAAGCTAAGACTCGAACCATTTGTTGGGCTCTCTGTATATTTGCCGTCTCTTACTTCTTGACACGTGAGCTTCTAAATTTTCTTCTTTTTCATAAAATCTAAGCAATTTATGATGGTTAATCTCTGAATTTGGAATATGACGGTGTTTCATTTTTTTTAGCCTGTTTGGGTTTATCTTACTTATTCTATGCTGATAGATTGATGTGGACAGTAAGAAAACTATGGAATTTAAGTTTTAATTTGAAAGCAAATTTATTTTTGGTTTCTAGCTATGTTTCCAATGCAATGTTTTTTTACTGGTTTCATGGGTTTAGTGTTATTAATTTTGTGATATTCAAATCGAAGCCAGGCCGGAAATTAATGTTCCTGGATTATGGAAGGACTGTTCAGCAAGCTAGTATATTCAGATATTAAATAGCTGAATTTCCTTTTGCAACTGAGGCACATGATGATACTGTTGAGTAGCTTCTAATATAGGCAGCAATCACTCAAAACCGGATACTTTTTCTATTGTACTGCTATATTCCTTGGGCTTAATCGACACGTTTTGGGTTTAGGTGAAGCTACTTTCTTATCGTGATCCATAGTTGACATGAATCCTTAAAGAGTAGGAAGCTCGACAGCTTCTATTTTCTTTTCCCCTCTTAATTGTATTACCAATTAGTTTAATCAGAACAAATTTGGGCATTACTTGTTACAGTGATTTCAGTTTTGCTCTCTTTTTCCTTTCAAGACAAGTAATCTGGATATTTGGTTATTTTTGTTGGGATCTTTGATTGCAACTATGCTTCTCTGCTTGCTATGAAAGCATTAAATATTAGGCCAAAGTTTCTAAATCACATATGTTGATTGCAGATACAAGTAAAGCAATGTTGATGAATATACCCATTGCTGTACTCCTGGTTTCTGGCCTAAGAATATTATTTAATAAAGTGGAATTCCGATGGAAGGTTCACAATGCTCGACCTCTTTCCTACTTGTCTCACTTAGAAAAGAAGCAGCTATCTCCTAATGATTCTCGTCTTTCTACCACGCCTCTGCCATCAAAATGGAAGAGAAAAGTAAACTCTCCTGCTGTAGAGGCTGCTATGCAGGATTTTATTAACAAGCTCTTGCAAGATTTTGTCATAGACTTGTGGTATTCTGACATTACACCTGACAAAGAGGTGCCTGAGCTTATACACGAGATAATTATGGATGTTCTTGGTGAAGTATCTGGAAGAGTCAAAGATGTAAACCTTGTTGACCTGCTGACAAGGTACTTTTTAGTTGCATCTTTAGAGCATGTTTGGTTAAGCTTAGAAGTTACTTCCCCCCCTCCCCTCCCCTCCCCTCCCCCGCCTTCCTCCTCCCAAATATGCTTCAAAGTTACTTTTCTTGGCACCAAAACATACTTTTGTAGAAAGAAAGTATTCACTTCTGTAAAAAGTACTTCTACTTCTTTTCTGTCTTGGCAAAAAATATGCTATTAATTACAACTTATCTCCCTGAAGTCTGTACTGTGAGTCTGTGAATGCGTAAAAATTGTGTGAGTTTGTGAATAGTTTGTTCCTTGAGTTATTGAACCCAGTCTTTTCCATTTATCCAGGGATGTAGTAGATCTGGTTGGAGAACACCTAGAACTTTTCAGAAGAAACCAGGCTGCAATTGGTGTGGATGTTATGGGAACATTGTCTTCTGAAAAACGAGATGAAAGATTAAAACACCATCTTTTGGTTTCTAAGGAGCTTCATCCCGCTTTGATATCTTCAGAGTGTGAGTACAAGGTGTAGAAGTGTTCTTAAACAGAAGGAATAGTTTTACAAGTTTTTATTCATTTTGTTTTGTTTGTTATTTTGCGTGTTATCTAATGCTTTTTAATTATAGGTTCTTCAGCGGCTCACGGGTGGACTTTTAGCTGTTGTTCTAAGACCTAGCGAGGCACAATGCCCCCTGGTTCGGTGCATTGCTAGAGAATTTTTAACTTGCTTGGTAATGGAACCTATTATGAATTTTGCAAGCCCAATGTAAGATGTTTTATCTAGTTGTTTATCAAACTTTAGTTTCATTATATTCTACTCCCTGTGTGCAAGATAAATAAGGTTCAAGTTGCATCAGGTCACCATTAACGAATTAGTTTTTAAAGGTGGCAAACAATATATCCTTTCTGCTTCCACATGATATATTTACCACATTGTAATATTCCATAGTTTTTCTTTTTTCTTCTCTTGTTTTTCAACTTGACCTGCCCTGTCTATATGGTACACATGCTTTCTTATTGATTTGGTTTCATCATATTGAGGGTTTGGCAGAGTTTGATAAAAATTTGATGAATTTTGTAGGTTCTACGAAATATGTTGTTAAAATTGATGTTTGACCAGTTGAAAGTTCATAAAATTTTAGAAAAGTTTTATCAAACAAGCACTGTACAAGGTTTCTCATAAACACTCTTGTAGTGATGCCTGTATAATTCTATTAATTAAACACTAAAAGTTAAATGATTATAACTCTTGCACTACTTTTTACCGTGATTTCATCTTTTGGGAATTGAAGTATGATGTTTTATGATTAACAAATCTACTGCACTAATGTTGTAATGATCCGGGTATTTATATCCAAACCTTTAGCTTATGTACTGTACACTTTAAGTGGGCCTATACCCATTTACCCCTTACGGTTTTCTATTGTGTCTCCTAAGATTCGAATTCAATATCTTTCTCTAATGAGAGACTTAATTTGAATCCTCCTGGTACCAATTGGTAGAAGTCTTGAGTTCGAATCTTGAGAGATGCAATAGAAAGCCAT